TTTCACATTTCAAAGTTTAGTAATGGTTGCAGAACTTGGGAACCTTTTGCGAAGTTATTACTTCATACCTTGCCGAAAGCGAAGTGTCTGTAGACCTTGGCTTGAGACCTCAAAACACCTCAATTGGTTGTACTGATCGTGAATTATATGCATGGAGAGCTGCATACACGACACTGCGTGTATTTCAGTTCTCGCTATTCGCAAGTATAGGTTAGCTTCTTCCGGAATTGAATTCCTATAGAAAACACTCGCCAGCATTGCTAAAAGATGGGTGAGTCTACGTTAAGTCGATTTCTCCAGAGAACAGGAAAAATTTAAAGATGCCAAACGTTGAATACTCGTGTTCAATGTCACGTTTCGCAATTTCGAAGTAAACTTTACAATTCAAAACTCCGATTTAAAGAGAATCTTGATCAGGCAATGGCGGCAAGTAATTCATTTAAAACAAATAGCTTCACACTGTAACATAGCTGTATCGCTGAAGAAGGCTATATAGGACTTCGAAATACGGGTCTCGTTATTTAGGTGAAATTAGACAGAGTGTACCGTTTGCGTAATAACGGGAGTTAAGGGAATAGCGTTACCGTGTAACAAACGTTCGTTCCGGACAGCGTCTTATAGTTAAGCGGGATAGCGTTTACGTGGTTACAGTGTATTAGAATATACTGCGTAGTGGGGTTCAGGAGAGGGCACGCATCTTGCGGTCGCTTGAAGCCGCGAGTGTTGACAGGTTGCGCAGGTGAGCGTGGGCTGTAAGCACACTTAATACGCCTGGTACGGGGCAGCAGTAGATATGGGCGATTAGAAGCCACAGATGTTTCGCTCAAAGAAATACCGAGGGGAGGATTTAAGGGGAGAGCAAACTTTCCACTGTTTCTTCCAAAATTACTGCAGCGCTATATGCAAATGCATGCGCGTAAAGAAGGCACACGGCGAACAGATAACGCTTACTTTAATCCAATGCAGTTGTGCGCAAAAAAGGACCACATCGATCGGATAACATCTTCATCGAAACCTGCGATCCAAGAACGTGCTCTTAGGAAAGAAAGAAGTCTCAGTAATGCCTATAATAAACCTCGTGATTTTATCTGAAAAGCTTCAGGCGGCTCTCGAACAATGGCGCCCCTGCTCATAATCTCAATGTTATTCAGCTCACACTTGTGTGAATTGCAATGGGCCGGCAAATATGCCTTCACTTTTGACAGCTCATGTGGCCGCGCACACACCTTCTCGTCTGGCCGGCTGACGTCTTGCCGCAGAATATCGGGAATTCGTCGACAACACCGTTGGCACGTTTTGTGTATGACTTCACGTACTTGTTGCCGCAGCCGCCTTTTTTTTTGTTCCCATTGTTTCGTATACGTGGGCAACGCTGTGATAGCTTCCGGGAAGAGGAAATAAAAAGGAAACAATTGGCACGCCGTGCCTGCTTGCAACCTTTCTTGAGGTTGTGTGAAAGCAAGTGCATGTACGGTGCGACCTCAGCTCTCGCCGTTCGGCGCTCAACACCAGTTCACATTTGAAATTCTGGAGGAGCGACTCGGTGGCAGCGTTGAGGGAAACCACCCAAGGGAAACCGATCCCATTGAATTTGAAAACGCTTTTTGCGTGAACGGGACCACGAGCTGTCACTGAAGGGCGAACATCCACCGACCCACTGCGATTCACACAATTGTGAGCCGTATCTGATTGAAATTCAGATTCTGAGATCCACTGCTTGAACTATCGGAAGTTTTACAGCGAAATTTGCTATGAGATCGGAACACGGGTCACGCGCGGCAGTCCAGTTGTCCGCCGCCGCCGCTATTCGTAACCAGTATTGAAAGAAAAGGGAAAAAAAACTTGGTAAATAAAAAAACACCAATGGCACAACAGGATTCGAACCCGGGTATGCTATATGTATACGTGCCACCCCAGTATCCTACCACTGAGCAGAAGAAGGAGGAGAAGGAGGAGAAGAAGAAGGAGGAGAAGAAGAAGGAGGAGAAGAAGAAGGAGGAGAAGAAGGAGGAGAAGAAGGAGGAGAAGAAGGAGGAGGAGAAGGAGGAGAAGAAGGAGGAGGAGAAGGAGGAGGAGAAGGAGGAGGAGAAGGAGGAGAAGAAGGAGAAGAAGAAGAAGAAGGAGGAGAAGGAGGAGAAGAAGAAGAATATGCACGTACCTTCTGAGGTTGAGGTACGTGCATATTCACCAGCTCTGTAATCTTGTCAATGAAAATTTTCCCCAATTCATTCATGTCACATAACTCCAATATGCACGAAAAAGTGGTAAAATACAAGACCAGCACTTCAGTGATGGCATCAAAGTCTCCTTTGTCGTACATGAAAACACTATGAGGAGATTGTTTACACGCAGGTATCATAGAAACGTTTCATTCTACAATAACAGAACTATGATCACTGATTCCTGGACCACAGTGTCCTCGACGTACATTTAGTGAAGAATAAAGTTTTCATCGCTGCTTAGTAAAAGACCTAGTACTGCGTTGAACTACGTTGGTTCGTTCACATATTGCTGTAATACCCCTGTCACACGGGCACTTAAAAGTCTTTTAAGTAAGCGGTCTTTTTCCGAAAAGGAGTTCCTGACAGCAGACACACGGCACAGAGCGAACTCCTTTTCAGAAGCGGTCTTTTTCGTAAACGGCGTTCGTCGATCTCTTTTACGGCTCCGAATGAGTAGCCTCGAAACCAGTGGGCGCCAGCAATTTTCGAGTGGTGGGAAAAAAAGAGCGAATGCTTATTTTTCTGTCACCAAAACTCTTTGTAAAAACAAATTTCATATCCTGCAGAAGGTGTAATGAACTCTTTTAATGGTTATTTCCTTTTCTACTCTCGTAAGCAGCTACAACGCGTCGGCAATATCACGTGGTGACGCTCGGTCTTGCGCTGCTTTATCCTCTCCTTGGCGGCTTTTGCAGCGTCTGCCTCGCTTTCCAGAGCGAGAAGGCAAGCCGTGAGGCTTGCGATCCTCGCTTTTTCTCCCGTACGGTCGCCCATAACGTGTCGAGAGCAGTCGAGAGCAGCGAAAAACAAATACGGTGAATAAAAGCACAGTGGTGCCAGACGAACTTGTGCACGTCGCTAGTTATGGGAGTGATACCTTATCTTGTGCAAAAAACTTTCACATTGGTGTTTCTTCATCTCTAATTCTTAAATTTATTTAAGCACGAGCAGTGCAACAAGTCTGTAATTTGTACATCGTGATACATCGTTTAATTTTCATTGCTTCTCTTTTAACTGCTAGCGCCACGCTTTCGCTAGCGTCTTCGAACGAAAACACTAAAAGGAGATCGTTGCTGCCGTCTGTCTGCGCCGCAACACCTGTTTGGTAAAAGTCTTTCAACTTCGTAAAAGACCGCTTACTTAAAAGACTTTTTTCGCGCCCGTGTGACACAGGTATAATCCAAAGACGCGCGTGAGTTTTGCAAAGGCAGAACAATTCAGAGTTTTTTTGTGGGGTTACACAGTCGGAATCTCACTTCATATCAGGCAGATTGAGATCCCCCTCCCCATTATCACGCATTCAGATATTTGCGATAGCATGTCGGAAAGCTGAAGTAATGCTTCACTGCTATGGTCTGCTGGGCGGTAAAACTATCCAAAAACGATGATGTTTCCTTGGGAAAATTGGACGCGGCATCGTACTCATTCAGTTTCATTATAAAAAACAACTTCTCCACTGGGAGGGCTACTTGAAATAAAAAACGCACTACCACAATGCCTGTTTCCATTTTCACGGTACCCTGTAAAAACTGTTTCGCCTGCCTCTAAGCTTGGCTGCTGCTATAGGTACGAACGCAATCAATACTTTGGGTGCGTATTGCATTTCTCATTGAAGCCTTCACCTAACATTTCCGGCATTTTGCGTTTTGGCGCAGAGATAGTTCTTTTATTTGTGCTCTTCACTTCGCGTTCCCTTATTGTGGATTGCTTCACACGAAAGATAACTGTTTGTAATGCTTCGTAGCACGTTTGCAAGAAACTCCTTTCTTGGCTCAAGAAATTGAGCCACCGCTCGCGTTATTAGGTTTTCTTTGTGCCGCTACATCTATTCGAATTCACTGCATGAGTGAGATTTTGTGAAACGTGCAGCTATGCTCAGTATTGTTATCTGTGCTGTTCGCAAATTGCTTGAATCGAGTGCAGTAAGAGAGAAGTGGACTATCTGAAAACATGTTTTCTAGCTAAATCTAGGACGTAATCTTTGAGTAAACACTTCCTCCTCGTTAACGGCTTGCATAACACCTAAAATTGCGTTGTTTTTGCTGCAGCAAATGATTGTGATTGTTTTTCGTGAAAAGGCGAAGTAAAGTGTGTAGAAGAAAATTAGTGCGAAGGTGGGGAAGAAAACGTAGCCAACTTTTTCTTTTCTTTTTTCGCTTTATGCCAGAGTCAAGTGCTGAGGCAACCATACTGCCACATCGTGTTGTGCACTGCATGTGTAGTTGTGTGCGTTCATTTCAGTTTCGCTCTGCTGTGGTTCTTCTTATATTGTTGTGTATATGTTTATTTCTTGTGCGTAATTTATAATGATGGTATGGCAGCTGTATTTTCACGTCTCGCAGTGCATTGAAGCTCTCATTGTGCCTGCGTTTATCAAACATTAACAAAGTGGGCATGCGCTTACCAAGAATGTCACTTGAAAATTAAAGGGTTGGCTCCTCCAACGATTCTCGTGTTTTAATTGAAATGTGTTCATAGATGCACATTGGCATAGTGTGCTGGCCTTTCTAGTGATTTGGCTTACACGAAGCTCATCAATGCATGCAAACGACGCGTTACAAAATTAAAGTATGGCCTCCGAGATGATGAGCACGCACGTAGAAGTGGTCTCGGAGGCTGTATAATATTTTTAGTCACTACAAAATGGCCTTCGAGACAGTCTTTTCTACGCTCTGCCATCTCTGAGACTGCGAAGTTTCTCACAGTCATTCGCTGCGCTGTGAACACCCTAAGGAAGTGTCCCCCCTTAACCTTCTGTATTACTCTATATGCTTGCAGCAAACCCTGGCGCCCACGTTCGCCATCTGCTGACGCCTACCGAAGACTCCAGTTCACACCTGAGCGGTTCCTCGGTAGGGGTTGCTACACAAATGATGTAAAAAGTGTAGTTTATTCCTTTCTTCTTGGTAAAACAGAGGAGAGATCTAGAAAACAGCAAAAATGGAAATTCTGAAACTTTGACCTGACCAGATGGCAGCGTTTACTTCACCCAACGATTCAGTATCTATGTATCAAAACGCTTTATAATGTTACTACAACGTTATTCATTAAATAACAGAGAGGTATACGTTCACTACCTTGAATAAAATTGCAGTCAGGATAGAAAGCGTCCCTGTGGCAATGTCCCAAAACAGACGCACCAATGTTTAGCGCAGCTTTCACCGTCATACTAATTCCTATCTTCCAAAACAAAAGAATTGGAAGTCTTTTTTTTTTGCCTCTCACGGCCTTTCATTTTTTTTTATTTGTCCACTCCTCGCCTAACTTGCACTGTGTGGGCCAATTGATGTCTGTGGCAATAGGTTTTCCGCTGCTTTTCGTTCTATCTTTCATGACCGATATAGTTTGATCTTGTGGAAGAAGAAAAAAAAACGCCGTGGCACTCACGTGACACGTGCTCTTTTAGGTCACGAGGTGCACACGGATAGAACGGCAATCTACGGCTCGAGGCATCAGGCTCGGCTTCCTAATTGCGGCGACCGTTATTCACTCCAGTCGAGGTGTACCCCACGGCCTTGCCCATTCGGTCAAGGTGATGGAAGCAAAGGCCGAAGACGACGGGGCAGAGAATGGAGGGAGCACCGCCACACGAAACACGGGAAGCAATGCCTCAGAAGGCGGTGCCTCAGCCGGTCCCAGCGCAGGGCCTTCCACCGCAAACCAGGTGAACCACCGATACGCACTGAGAGGCAAGAAACCTGCTGTGGAACCGCAGCATGAAGGCCATCCCGACTTCAGGGCCGGTCCGTCAAACGCCGAGCAGACACCGCCGGAATTCAAGACTCCGCCACCGAAAGGAAACACCACCGGCCGGCGCAAAAAGGCTGGCGCTAAAGACAAAGTGGCCTTTGACATGATTCCTGAGAATTCTCTGGTGTCGACAAAGGAAGACCATGCACCCGCGCCAGCTTGTCATCAGACTCAAGAGATAGTTCACCCGGAGCCGTTCCCGAACCCATCTGCTGCCGACACCAAAGCAGCAGGACGTTTGCCCAGGCCGAAAACCAGTGCAGAGCCGAAAGCCGGCGCAGAGAAGCTGCGTGACGAAAATCCGGCCCCTGCAGAGAAGCATACCGGCCTTGGAGAAACGGCGGCCTCTGCAAGCTCTGGCCGCAAGACAAAAAGGCTCTTGCGTAGAGACACGTTCGGGGCGTGTTTCTACTTGCCTCCGGGCGATGGGTTCGAGGTCCCAGAGAGCAGTGACAAGCAAGCCAATTCGTGAGGAGTCATTCACTTTTTTGAATAAAGGCGTCGTCGCTGGAGTGGTGCAGAACAAGTGTTCAATTACTAAAAAATGGGTTAATTTTAGGCAAACGTTCTTGTTGTTCACGTTCACCTATTGCTCATGGCGCATACCCACTTGCTGGCTGCACACCAAGTGCGAGCTCACCTCTCGTGACCACATTTCGTTGTCTTCTTTCTTCTATATTATTCGCACAGATTGTCATTCAAGTTAGTACAACGTTACGAGGTGGAGGTAAATGATGCGGTACATGACTAACATGTCATGATTATCATGTTTGGATGTGTCGTTTACCTTCGTCATCTATTCACGTCACGTGGTTTCAAATTTTGTATATGTGGAGCTAGCTAAACGGTCAAGAGTACGCTATGAGTCGTGTGTTGTCGTGTCAGGATTATCAAGTTTGCACCAGTCATATATTTCGTCATCCATTGACGTCACGTAAAACCAAATTCGGTATATGTGGATCTAGCAAAACGGCCGCGAGCGCATCATGAAGGGCCCAATATACTCCAATGTAGCGTTGACGCGCGCGCACGCTGGGCCCAGCAACGCTACGTTAGCAAAATACGAGCACTCAGTCGTCTCACGCCAGCTGCGACCAGCGCCCGTCAGCGTGGCCCGACGCAACCGGCACGACATGCGACATGCTGCATTTCGCGCCGATGCGTTACCCAGACAACACTGAGTCTCCCTCATCTCATTCACAAACTGGCTGTGGCTTGAGAGTATTCGAATACATTCGGCAATTTTTAACCGAGAGACAATCCTACAATCGCATACAGGACAAGGAACATGGCCATTTCCCCTTAGGAAATAGAGGTACACCATAAGGTGCGGTGCTGTCTCCTTTGTTATTCAATCTGGCCATGATGCACCTGCCGGCTCAGCTGGCTGATGTTCTCGGTATAAAACATGAGTTGTAGACTGAGCACATCACCATCCCGGCCACGCAGGGTGCACTCGGAGATATTGAGGCGAACCCGCAGCAAGCCGCGAGCATATATAGTCGACCGCTATGCCCGCCAGTGTGGCCTCGCCATCCAAATCATAATTCGTGCACATACGCCCCTCACCCAAGTGCAAAGCCAAAATTGAACTTTCACTCGAGACAGATCCAATCCCTGAACAAAAAGAAGTCCGGGTACTGTGGCTCTTTATTAATCAACACAGACGGTCAGACACCACATTGGCCAAACACCGGAAGGTGGGTGACCAGGTGGCCCGCGTGGTGCGCTGGGTCTATAATAAACGCAGAAGGCTACGGTGCAGAGATGCCTTGTGGCTGCCACATGCATTTGGAACCAGTAGAATCTTGTATTCTACACCATACCTCCACCTGCGGAAGCAAGGCGAGGATGTAGTTAAAGTCATCCTTCGCATAATTGTAAAACGAGCCCTCGACCTCCCCGTGAACACGTCTAACCAGTGCCTTCTAGGCCTTGGTGTGGTGAATACGTTTCGGGAGCTTCGGGAGGCCCACTTCACAAATCACTACACTCGACTTTCACAGACGGTAGCGGGGCGCCGCCTATTATCCCGCCTACGCCTACAACACATTCTCATCACGGAAGATCGCGTTCAACTCCCAGTCGAGTGGAGATGCGCCCTCGACGTGCGTCCTCTTCCAAACAGTATGACAAAAGAATATCACTATGGCCAGCGCCTGGCGCAGGCGAAAGCCCTGGCCCGCTATTATGGATTAAAACCCGCCGTGTTCTACGTGGACGCCTCGGGCCCACACTCTCGGGTCTGGTACACGACCGCTGTCGTACACGAGAACCAAACAGTTAACGGGCTCACGTTTCGAGCCGGGGACATAATCAATGTAGAGGAAGTCGCCATTGCATTGGCCGCTTGTCACCCTAGATCGCAAATCATAATCTCCGACTCCCGAGGGGCCTGTCGAAACATTGTGAACGGCCATGTCACATACTTGGCCTACCGCTTATTGCAACGTTCGGACTATCAGGGAATGCCGGCACCCCGCCGTATAGTCTGGGTTCCTGCTCACATGAGGCACGAAGGGAACGAGGCAGCCCATGCCGCCGCCCGCGCGCCCTCTCACCAGGCATTCCCACTCACCTCCCCCGATCAGGACGACCTTGAATTCAATCCGTTGTATTCGTTCCGCAAAATTGTGAACTATTACAAATTCGATCACAGTTTTTATGTACGCCCATTCAAAGGCCTAAATAAAGTGGAGGAGTGGCTTTTACTCCGACCCTTCGCGAACACTATGCTTATCCCGGCATAGTTAGTAGTTTTCTTTAGTGAGCCTCTAATCGGAGGCAAAGTTATTTGAATATTCAGTCATCCATACTCCTTTCTGTGTGTTATTTCGTCGGGAACAACTATCCTTTAATATAGAAGTAACGTAGCATTTACATAAGATATCAAAGCCACTTGATCTTTAAGTGGGCACTATCACAAAAGAGCATGTTTCCGCCATCTTGGCAGTGGATAGATAGATAGATAGATAGATAGATAGATAGATAGATAGATAGATAGATAGATAGATAGATGGATAGATAGATAGATAGATAGATAGATAGATAGATAGATAGATAGATAGATAGATAGATAGATAGATAGATAGATAGATAGATAGATAGATAGATAGATAGATAGATAGATAGATAGATAGATAGATAGATAGATAGATAGATCTTTACATCTTCGACTACTGAAACCCACAAGGAGACTGACATGCCATAGCAAGTATAATCAAGCCCCAGAATGCGAATGGAGTCACTTTTTTGAAGACCAAAAAAGGGACTTGGGCAGGCGTCTGGTGAACCATTGAATAAATATCGACATTTTGAAAAAAATTAACGCAGCACATGAAATCGTGCCATACGCAGCAAAAAGTTCGTAGGCTACGGGATAAACTATCCTCGTTCTTCAAATAACCATGATGTCATCAGCAAGTGCTGTCACCGTCACGGCACCACTACCTGGAAGAAGAAGGCCTCGAACATATGGATCAGTAATAAGCGAGCGAAGGAATGGTTCGAGGCTGAGTACAAAAAGTGCAGGGGATAAAGGACACCCCTGACGAACACCACGGGTAACAGGAAATGGCGCACTCTCTAAACCATCAAGAAACAACGTGCTGCGTATATTTCGGTATGCGTTTCTGAGATGATGATGAAAAACATTTATTATAAAAGAGAGAGGTACGGGGCCAAAGCATGACCCCGCTACATGGTCGGCGTCCTTAGTCCGGGACACCGCATGACGAGGCGCCTACTCGCGCCCGTCTCACCAGAGCCCGTTGAGACTCTAGTGATGAGCAGTTGAGGAGGGCAGTCTCCCATGCCTCTCGGGAAGGGGTAGGGGAAGGGGGTAGGAGGGGATTTTTCGGACATGCCCATACCATGTGGAAGATATCACACGTCTCCCCACAGTGTGGGCACCGCCCATCTGTGTTCGCATCGAAATGTTTTAGGATTGCAGGATAGAGTAGAGTACCTGTCTGCAGGCGCCTTAGAGTTCGCTCTTCCGGCTTACTCAGCCCCTTTGCAGGATCCGGGTAAAGGCGGTGAGTGTCCCGATAATAGGTCAGAATTTCTTTGAACCGCAGCAGCGGTGTATTGGCCTCCGAGTCATAAGAGCCAAGGTGAGGAGCCCGGTGGGTAAGCGCTCGGGCGGCCGGGTCAGCGGCCTCATTACCTCGTAAGCCCTGATGGCCAGGAGCCCACACGATGCGTTTCGGGGCTGGATCAGCGAGAGCCCGTTTTAGAACTTGGCTGGCTAGGGGGGATATCTTTCCTACCAAGTAATGAGCACATGCTTTCCGGGAGTCCGTGATGATAACTTTCGAGTTGGGGTTCGCAGCAGCAAGCGCTATCGCGACTTCCTCAGCGCGCTCTGGATTTTGTGCTCGGAACGAGAGCCCATTGACATGCTTTTCCCGGTGAACTACACAGGCCGTGTAAAATCCCGTGGGCGAAGGCCCTGCTATATCTACGTAGAATACACCAGGTCGGGAGCCGTGTTGCCTCTCAAGCGTCCGAGCCCGCACCTGTCTTCTGATTTCGTGCGTGTGCTTATCCATGTTACTGGGGAGTGGAGAGACCGAGAGCATATGCCGCCACAGTTCCGGAATACGCTCCGCCTCCTCTGCAGTGCAAGTGTGCTGTATATGTAAGCGGTTCAGCAGGCGGCGCCCGGGAGCCGTCTGCACGAGCCGCGTATATTGATTCATAAGGTGGGCCTCCCGCAACTCCTGGTAGGAGTTGAGCACACCTAACGCCCACAGTTTGGCGTTGGAAGTGGCCACCGGGAGATCCAAAGCTCGTTCAGTAGCCTTACGAATGATGGCATCTATTCTTTCGTCTTCTTGCTTGTTAGTGCGAAGGTATGGGACGGCGTAGAGGATCCGGCTAGTCACGAAGGCATGGGCGAGCCGAAGCGCGTCCCTGCGCCGCAGACCACCCCGCTTGTTGGAAACGCGGTGGATCATGCGCCCTACCTGTTCGCCTATTCTCTTGAGTTTCGCTATAGTGGAGTCCGGTCTGAGTCTGTGGTGAATGAACAGGCCCAGAATCCGGAGCTCCTCCACCTCTCTGAAGGGAACCCCAGACAGGGAGATGTGTATGGCTGACTTATCTTTTGTCTTCGCTCTAACGTGCAGAAGCTCTGATTTGTTTGGAGCACATTGGAGTCCACAATCGTTGGCATACGCCTCGACTATGGATGCGGCCTGCTGAAGGCGTTCCTGCATTTCACCAAGGCTCCCTTCAGTGGTCCAGATTGTAATATCATCGGCATATACTGCGTCTTGTGTGCCTTCCACCCTGGCCGATTCGCTTGGAAGGCGCATCATAGCAATGTTGGAAAGGAGCGGTGATAACACTGCTCCCTGTGGGGTACCCCGTGTTCCCATAATGTACGGGCCATATTCCTCGTCCTCGATCCGAAGAAGTGCCTGGCGTTTAGAGAGAAAATCTCTGACATATGCAAAGGCCTTAGCCCCGCAATTGGTGGAACTCAAGTTAGCCAGGATGCTGCTGTGTTTAACATTG